GCCACAATTAGCTCTGGCTTTGCAGTAGTAACCAAGGTCCACACTGGAACCACAACATTTTCTTCAACACCAGATGAGCCCAAGAAAGGCTGGAACACTCCTGCTCCCCTGGAGTAAGTGGGAATAGCCAGTGGGCAAGGATGTAGCCAGGCAGAGGGAAATGGGCAATTGCAAATTCTCCAGGGTTATGATTTAAGCGCTTGACACTTACATGAAAGGTTAAAATCATGACATCGAAAGCAACCCCCAAACCAGAGCCAAATAAAATTAAAATATGCTTTTTCAGGTTTGCTACTGTGAAGACCATATATCTGCTTGTGCAGAATTTGATACTTTTCATGATCACATGGTGCCAAAAGCTTGGAGTTTATTCCACACATTGCTCACAGTGATGGGAGCAGCAGCCCCAGCCCACAGCACAGAGGAGGGGCCTTACCTGGGAGATCTGTGCTGGCTTCGCTGCACTGAACCAAGTGCATTTACATGGACACACAGAGGCACAACTAGGCAATGTTTTTCAGTGCCTTTGCAGAAGCCTGAATAATTATAGACAGTAAAGGACTTGAAAATTAATCACACGTGTCGCATCTCTGCTAATTAAGATTTCAGTGGACACCACGCAAAGGGCTGGGCCCTAAACCAAATTAAATGAAGAACCCAGTCCTTTCCTCAGACTGCAGCTCTCTCTTTACATGGAAGAGGATCAAGTCTTGAAGGCTTAATTACAGTGCTCCACCATAGCCAGAGCATCTCTCTCAATATGACACCTGAAGAAATCAGCACAAAGTCTCCATCACATGTTCCTGTGACAAAACCAAACCTCAGCTCGGTGGGACTGTCATTTACCCTGTGGCACAGAGCAGCCCAGACAATGTTTGCACCATTGTATATAAGCAAGCAGATAACAATGAAGTTTTATTTATTCAGTGTAACAGCCTCAGCCTGAACAAGTCCACGATCAGCTGCACTGAGCCAGCCCGCAAACAGCTTTCCATAGTGGCAGGATGAGGAAAGAGCCCCTGGATTCAGTTTAAGATTTCTCTTCTGGGAGAATTACTCCATTACAAACAGGGAGGCAAAGTAATAAGCTGATTTCTGCACCCTCTTTCCAAAGAAGAGCCCCACATATTTGCAGACAAGTATGCACATGCCCTCTGGATATTCTCAGCCCCCAAAGATTCCAGCCTGGCTTGCTCTGGGCCACTCGGCCTGTGATAGCAGCCATGCACATTTGGCAGAGACATTTTTAGAAACTTCCAAGCTATGAATTCACCTTTCCATCTTGGTAAAGCCAGTTATGTAGAAAGCATTTCAAAAGCACAACTTCAGATACAAACTTAATTTCTCCTCAATTCTCACAGGAGGGGGAATAAATAATATTAGACTCTTCATTTATTCTCCCTCAGTTATCCTGTAATATTTCTGTATTTCCGGACACCGTAATCAAAAATAAAATAATTATAAGTCAAATCAGTCTTTTCAGCACAGTTACACCCATGTTAAAACTATTTCCAGTTCTTTTCCTCAGGTCTATGTTCTATTGCAAGTCACTATAAAGTGACTTTCCTTGGAAACATACATCTAACTAAATGCTTAGGAAGTGACCTTCATGCTGCAGATTTCAGGGATGTACTGGATACCTGGCAGGCACCTGCTCCTGTCCACAGGCTTTTCACCATGGCCACGTGGGAACTGAGACCAGGATTGTATCTGCATCCACAGTCCAGTAACCATGTGCTGGCAACACAGATAAATATCCAACAGCACCATCTGGCTCCTGATACATCCACAGTCAACTTCCAGACATTTTCCCTTTTTCCACCGGTGCTCAGAAAAAGCAAACTGCTCTTAGTGGAGTGGGTCAGACTCCACAGGCAGGACCTGATATAGACTCCACAAACCTGCAAGCTCTAAACCTCTGAATCCACTAAGGCATCAGAGCCACCTCATCCTCACCCCCAAGTGGCTCCAGCTGCACAGCCAAACACCCACAATCCTCTAAATGGCTTCAGCCCCCTTTGCCTGGAGGACACAACTAATGAACCACCACTCAGCTGATGAGTTCATTAACCCACAGCTGCTTGATTGCTGCCAGCTGCCTGTCTCAGCCCCTGAACTCCACAGCAACATTTCAGCCCCTTTTTAAGCTCAGAGTGATTCCTTACTCCTTCTTTTAAAGGAGTGTTATTCTTCAAAGGAAAAAGATTTTTACTGCAACTGTTTTGTGACAGTAAATTCCACCATCTGCTTGCAACAACCACATCTGATACCTACTGCCTTCTGGGGAGAGATGGCCCAGGGAGTAACAGGAGCACTCCTGCTTGCTTTCACCTGTGCATGAACCCTCCAGCATAGTCCTGAACATTTCTCCAGAGCTCTTTCTTTCTTTCTTCCCAAACACTTGCTGCTTCTGCAGTCCTGGAGTTTGTGGTCTCAGAAGGACTCCAACCCTTGGTCCCCAAGTCATGCCCAAGCCCAAAAGTGCAGAGGGAACAGAGGCCATCCCCTTCTCACCCTCCCTGATGGCTCTGCTGCACTTTTCAGGGCAGACTTGAAAGGTGAAGCACCTAAGAAAATGCTACTCTTTCAGAAAAACCAGTGTGATGCCATTTTTTACCCTTCCCAACACAACCTCGGGCACACAGCAGCAAGACCCCAAGACACATCATCCTGTGTGCAAATATAAACCCTTCTGCAGACACAGAAAAACTGCACAGGCACAACTTTCCACACTCCCTGGATCAGACAGCAAAAAAAAAACAAGGCACAACCACCTCTTCTTCCCCCAGTGCTGTTCTTGCTCACTTATTCAAAAAATAAGATATAAAGCCCTACCTTGAGGCGAGGAGCAAGGTCTGTAGGTGAGGAGCAAGGCAGACACCACACTGCAGTGTGGAGGGAGGACGTTTGGGCACAGCCCCCCCCCAGCTGTGGGCTATTAGGGCTGATTGGGGATCTGACCATGCCAGGAGGGATCCAGGGCACTCCCCCCAGCTCTGGCTCTGCTCCAGTCCCAGGTGTCTCTTGAGCAACCACTTGATTTGGTTCACCCCCCACAGCAGAGGTGGTGCTTCACCAAATCACCCTTCTTACCCTGAAGAGGAAGTAACGTTTATCCTGCTGTCTCCACTGATTCTTTCTTTCCAGGTCTGTGGCCCATCAGGAGCCTGCATGATTTCTGGCTGCCTATGGAAGGAAATGATTCAAGTACCAGGTACTGCAGACCAAGCTGTGGCATCCAGGGCAGTGGACAGGTATTTCCACTCTTCCCTTCTTCTAGTTGTCAATATTTTTTCATTAATTCCCTTGTCTCTCAGGACTGTAAATTGAGTCAGTTTATATAGGTAGGCATGTTTACAAAAGGACTGGATTATTTTTTTAAATTAAATCCGGATGCAACAGAAAGCAAATGCCATAAGGGGTTTTTTTGCCTTCAGGCTGTTCCAGCAGGTCAAGGTCTGAAAGGTTCAATTTCAGTATCAAGATGACAACCGAGCACAAACCAAGACACTCAGCAACAGATGTCTTCTTTTCCCCCAAACTCTACATTACAACCCCCACCCCAAAATATCACCCCTTTAAAACCAACCTTTACTGAAGTTCTCAGCACTGTGAGAAAGCTGCTGCTTTTTTTTTTTTTAAGGCTGATCTATGTCCAGAGGCAGAGAGTGTTTGACCATAATACTACAGAAGGATGAGACCGTTTTCAAGCTGACTGAACAAAATAAAGCCACACTGCTACATCTGGCCTAGGAGCAGCAAGTCCCTGTAAAGAGAATTTTACTGACTGCTCCAAAGTTGCATAAACCAGCACTGCACTGAGATCTGGTGAATGAGTTACAATGACAAGATCATCAAATGGTCACCTCCTTTCTAAATGTCCCATTGAGAACTGACTACAGAGGTGACCAAGCCTCAAATTTCACACAAACTTACATACTGCAATTGGCTTGATGTCTTATTTATTAGGATACATGTAGCACTCCCTTTTAAAAAAGTTACTTATTACTAAATTAAGGCAGTATTTAACCATTTTGTGAGAATTTCCTAAACAGAATGTCAGCTTTACCAGCCAGCTCTGAAGAAGCAATGAAACATCAACTTTAAGAACATTGCAGTGTAGGTTTTGGTACCTCAAGGTACTACCTGAAGTGAGGTGGTTGGCATTTATGTTGTTAATTCAAATAAACTCACATTACTAAAGCAAAAGAGATAGGGAAGGTAAAGATTTTACTGAGAAGAGATCACCTGTCTCAATAAAAAACCCAACTTTCAAATGTACAACTTGGCAGCATTCTGCAAATATAAAGCATTTAGTGAAATTTCATAATGAAAAGGAACAAAAAGGCTTCTGATTTCGACAGACTGGCAATGTAATTTTCAAATATATTGTGTGAATTAATAGTAACAAATGGGGTTCCCATTTTTGCTTTGCCAGAGGAGCAGAGCCAGGCTGCACATGTGCTATGCTCCGAGGAAAAACAATCCATAAACAACCACTGCTGTTAAATAATATGAATTTTTACACTGGAAGGCTCTTTCAACACATTAGACTTCGTTTTTAAACAAAACTCTGTTTACATGAATACAATAAATAGTTTATTAGTGGAATGTATGTGAATTTCTCTCTTCCATCCTTGCTCTTACTCTCAGCACCTTACACACAGATGCCAGAGCAGTTTCCAGTCCAAGCCAAGGACAAAAGTTAATTTCAAGGCAAAAAACAATGAGAGGTTTAAAGCTCAGACTGGCACCTTTGAGTGACCAGTTCCTCAAGTGTTTGATTCCCCCAAATCTACCGGCAAATCGGCATTTCTTCTTTTCCACACCAGGATCCACCTGTTTCTTCCCAAATCCTGCTCCTTTAAGCTCTTCCAAGGCAGGTCACAAGCTCCATGGGGACAGCACAAAGCCCTGCCTGCTCTAACGCTCCTCCAGCTATTGCACCATCCCTTTATTACTTCATTTTAAAGCCCCACCATTACCAACCACCTTTTTCTGATTCTCTTTTTTTTTTTTTTAATAGTTCAGCTTAGTGTTGTTTTACAAAAACGGAAAGAGTCTTTTCTTCAAGATATAGAGCACTGTGGCCAGGAAGAGGGCGAGGGCCAGGAAGATGAGCAGCTTGTCCGTCAGCTCCCTGCGGTTGTACTTGGTGATGAGCTTCCGCCCCAGCTGGATCGTCCCAGACATGGACTTGAACTCCTCATTTGCCTCCAGGATGGTTCTTGAAGAATTGGCTGAAATTAAGGGGAAAAAAAAATAATAAAATCAGGCAGTTCAAAAATAGGAGGCAAAGTATGTAAGGGTGAGATGTTTGGCAGTACAGAGAGTGCCCGAGAGATCCTGTGCTGGGTCAGACTCGCTTGTGGGTGAGACACACGTGGACTGTTCTCGTGGAAGTTGTCACAAGTCAGCGGCGCTAAGGAAAAAGACAGAGCAAAAGAACAGCACTGAAAAGCTTCAAGACCTACTAAAGTTCCTGAATTTTTAGTTTTTAGGTTACCAGGTCAAATCTAGTTCATGTTTTTCAGTCAGTGCTGAGACTTTGATGGCTGCAGAGTGAAAGAAGGATGGTGTAAAATAACCACCAACTGAAGGGAGAGAAATCACCGGCACAATCAGCAGCAGTTCTGGTGGCAGCAGGACAGGGCAATATTTGAATACATTAATTGCACAACTGAAATTATTCCCCCAAGCCAGAGCAGTAGAACAGTGTGATTTAGGTGGGCTTGCAGAAAGTAAGGAAGCAGCATGCAGTAGTAAGAGATTTTTAATAGGATCATAATGATCTTAATAGCCATTTTTGACAAACTTAATATTTTTTTGCCTAATAAAAATGAGAAGAGTCAACTAGAAAAAGTGCGTTGATTAGTCTCAACTTCTCTTTCCCTGTGAGAAAACAAACAAGCAAACAAATGCCCTGAACTCCTCAGCCTTCCTCCTTTCAAATTACTCAATTAAAGCAAAAGCCCTGGAATTCCCTTTTTCCTCCACTACAGAATGCACAGCCTACAGGACAGTGAAAGGTGCACCACTCTACACTGCCCTGATTGCTTACAGAAAGGTCAAATCCAACATTTGTCTAGTTCACAGAAATAAGAGGAGTAGAAATAAGTCTGCAGTATTTTACAAAACATTTTGTCCCATCGCATCTCATTTCAAGATGTATTTTGATCCAAGTGAAAACAGAAAACTTGTTTCCCAGAGTTAATGACAAAGCAGAGCCTCCCTGCTCCACAGCCTCAAACATTCATTGCATCCTATGGAAGGACTTGCTCAGAAAAAAGGAATTCTAACTGCTAACTCAGAATTTGCAGCTGGGTTTTGAAAATGACCTTTGATAGTTTTTCCTTTGATGAACTCCAAGTGCTGTTCAGTCAGACACAGGGTGAAAAAGTGTCAGCCAAGCTGTCTTTTTAATTGGAGAAGGAACACGCTGCTTCTGCAGGAACAAAATGTACCCAGCTGCCACCCTCCGACAGGGTAGAAAGCAAGGAGGGCAAAATTGTGTTATTTATCCTCATCTTTAAACTGTTCTCCCTTCTGCCCAAAAGCACAGCTAGGAAGAGGCCCAGGCAGCACAAACTCAACTTCTAAATGCTTCATGAATCACCAGTTCTGACAGGTCACTTGATTTATTGGTTTGGAGTCTAAGCCAAAGAACTGGGTGAAATCTTGGTTTCACAGTCCCTGATGCACTGCTGACAGAGCAAGTGACCTTGGGTTCAAGTCACTTGATCTCCTCATCTCTCAGTCATCCCAGCTGGAGCCTGGGTGGAAACAGCCTTCCAGCCAGACTCTTTCCTTTGTGCATGGACATGCACACATGTACCCATGCTTTTATTTTCTCTGCCATTCCCAAATCCATGCCAGGACAGTGGCACAGAATAACACCAAACACACTCTTGGCACTGTGTGAGCTCACACTGCTTTTACAACTGCATTTATGTGAAACTAAAACAAAAGCTCCTCATCGTGACCCCTTTTCCTTTTCTTAATTATGAAACAGAAACTCCAACAAACAGCTCCACACAAAGTACATTATTATTTCCTGTTTATGTCCAACTGCTACAGAAGTTCTGCTGGACAGTCCTTTAATTATCATCGTACCATGTTCTCCTACAGCAAAGCAGTTTTCCACTCTGCTCCACAGTTGCTGGTCTGCCTCTCCCTCTCCTGACAGAACTGGCAAAAGGTGCTTCCACCACCCAATCCATGCCCAAACTCCATCTGTACCTAAGGTCTGCACGGTCTCCTCGCTCTGCTGCACTTGCTGAGACATCATCCTACTGATGCTCATCAGACTCTCTGTGATGTTACTTGCACTCTCTGCCAGGCTTTCCTTCGTAGTCTTCCTGAAAAGGAAAGGGAAAAAGTAAGGCAGGAAGGGATAAAATTATTTCTTTGGCTACTTTGGTAAAATGCTGCTGCCAGGGAGCCTAGAACAAAGCTTGGCACCAAACATCTCTGCCAGTGTACAAAAGACAGAGTTTGTTTTCACTGCATAAGAAACTCAAATTATCTTCATTAACAATAAAAAAAATAATCACAAAATATTAAAGAATCATGGGCCTGTATTTCACTACTTACTCATCTAGGACTGTGTAACTTAGAGCTCCTATGGAAGTACTCAAACAAACTACAACTTTATTATCCTAGGTATCCCATTTGTTGCTTTCAATACACAACTTACATACACTTGGATCCAGGTCTGCACGTGAAAACAGCTTGGATAATGATCTGTTACTTGTTTAGAATCTTGACTGGAATTAATGTAAAAGATAGTAAGAAAAACTATAAAGGCTAACTTACCCCCTTTTCTGCTTAGAGATGCCAGTGCCAAGAAAACCTGAAATTATCACAATCCTTAACAGTTCAAATTTCCACAAAAGGAAAATGCACTCATAAAAGAAAAGCCACATTCCAGATACACTTAAGTAACTTTATGTCACTTCCATTTAAAACTAGTGAATACAGCAGACACTGCTTGATTCTCAGAGTACAGTGGGACAGTCTGATACCTTTGTCTTAAGGAGTCTCTTCCCTGTAGCAGCTGATCTTTCTCAGAGTTGTCAATAGCAATTTTGCAGGCCAGATTTGCCTTCCTCCAAGCTGCCTGGTTGCTGAAATCACAAGAACAAAGTGCTGTAACGTGATTGGGAACACTTTGCAAGCGCAATTTTCACAAAGCAAACACTACTGTAACTGGGCACCCCCAATACGTGCACGGACCCTCAGAGAATCAGAGAATCATTCAGGCTGGAACAGATCTATGAGATCACCAATCCCCACCTTGTCAACCAGACCAGAGCACTGAGTCCAGTCGTTCCTTGAACACCTCCAGGGACGGGGACTCCACCACCTCCCTGGGCAGCCCCTTCCAATGCTTGGCAACCCTTTCCATGAAGAAATTCTTCCTGATGTCAAACCTGAACCTCCCCCGGCACAGCTTGTGGCCGTTTCCTCCTGTCCTGTCCCTTGTTCCCTGGGAGCAGAGCCTGACCCTCATCTGGCTCCATCCTCCTGTCAGAGAGTTATAGAGAGTGACAAGTTTCCCCCTGAGCCTCCTTTTCTCCAGGCTGAGCCCCCCCAGCTCCCTCAGCCGCTCACTGTCTCAGTATTACAACACCGAGTAACAATATACTGCCCCAACATTCCTTCTCCTCAGGGTATCATTTACAGAGCAAGGGAAGAAGAAAACAGTGCCAGCTGTTGACTGACAGACTCTCAAGGCACCTACTTTGAGCGCAAGTGCTCAAAGAGACAGACCAGACTTAGGGAGCCAGGACAGGAGTCTGGAAAGGAAGAGAGAGTCATATCCTTTCCATCCCTGACCTCTTGGTATTCGGCAAAACATATCCTGTCAGCAACTGCGTTTGCCAAACAGAATCTGAGAGATGCTTTATCGAAGTCAGACTATCTCAGGGTACAGGGCACTTGGGAACAGCACCAGCTGCCCGACCCACCTGAGCATTTGTTTCTTGTGGTTCTCCACCTCCCGCAGCAAGGCCTGTTTCTCCGACTCCTTGTCCTGCTCCTTCGCCATCTGCTCCAGCTCCTTCGGCAGACACCACAAACACCAAAACCCCATCAACCACCTGCAGCTCGCACACCCCAACCCCGGCCAGGGAGCGCATTCAGAGCAGACTGATCCGGTAGATCCCCAGCCCAGAGCCGGGACCCCTCAACCCGCAGCTGGGACCCCTCAACCCAAACCCAGGACCCCCCAACCCACGGCCGGACCCCCCTCAGTTCGCGGGCAGCC